TATAAGTCTACTGCTATTGCTATAAAAAAAAAGACCTCCAAGGTCCCTTCCAACTCTGTTATTCTATTCTATTTTCTCCAGTTCTTCACCACCACCACCACCACCACCACCACTTCCTCCTTCCTCTCTCTTTTATCTGTCGTCTTCTTCTTCAACACCTCCTCCTTCTCCTCTTTCTTCTACTTCTCCTCCTCCTCCTCCTTCCTCTTTCTCATATCTATCGTCTTCTTCTTCACCTCCTCCTTCTTCTTCTCCTCTTCCTCCTCCTCCTCCTCCTTCCTCTTTTTCATATCTGTCATCTTCTTCACCACCATCACTTCCTCCTCCCCCTCCTCCCTCTTCTGGACAGCCAATTATCCAGAACGCTATAGGATAGTGATGGCAAACACTTTTGGCACTGAGTGCCCGAAGTGTACGAGTGCATACGCTGGAGCACTGGAAACAGGCATGCGCCGGCTACCTGGTCTTTGGGTTTCTAACACACGCACGTGCACTGGCCAGTTGGTCTTTGTGTGCTCCAGCGCGCCAGAAACCCAAAGACCTCCTGCTTAAAAAGAGTTCGACTACGACCTCCCAGGTCCCTTCCAACCTGTTCTGTCTTTTGGACCCAGCTACTGTTCTCCTTCCCTTGGGAGGTCCCTCCCGATGCTGAGTTTCTCTCTCCTTTTCCTCCTCTTCCTCTCCAGGAAGTGGAGAACATGCAGACGGCCTTCCGGAAGGAGCTGGAGAGAGCCAAATCCTGCCTCCTCCTCCAGAGTCAGCAAGTGGAAGCCTCTCAGAACCGGATTGCGGAACTGGAATCCCAGCTGACCAAGAAGGATCACCTGTTCCTGGAGCAGAAGAAGTACTTGGAGGACGTCAAAGCCCAAGCCAGGTTCCCTTGATGGTTGTCCTCTTTTGCTTCGCTCTGCAGGGAGCCCTGAGCTAAGCTTAGAAAGTGTTAGGCCCCTGGGGCCCTTGGTGCTCTCTGAGCTTGGTGGTTCTTCCTGAAGGTGTCTCATTACCCAGCTAGGTAACATCATCAGTGCTAGAAGATGAATGGGGATAGTAGACAGGAAGGAAGAGGAGTGTGGGGCCCTTGGTGCTCTCTGAGCTTGGTGGTTCTTCCTGAAGGTGTCTCATTACCCAGCTAGGTAACACCATCAGTGCTAGAAGGTGAATGGGGATAGTGGAGAGGAAGGAAGAG